ATGAGTAAAAGAGAGAGAGAGAGAGAAGAGAGAGAAAAGAGAGAGAGGGAAAGAGAGAGAGAAGAGAGAGAAGAAAGAAAAGAAAGAGAGAGAGAAAAGAGAGAGAAACCAAGAGCCAGAGTTCTAGGGTATAAGGATTAGTTACGTTAGAGGCTGTCGAGCATTGTGGTCTCGCAAAATATGCAGGGATTTGGGGAATATGGCTGCCGGCATCGCAGGAGCACCGGATAGGTCAATGAGCCACCACCAAACGCCGTGTGTGCGTTTTTTTTTATTTCCATCGACCGCGATAACGCATGCGGTATCTACAAATCAGGAGAGAAAACAATGTGACTACATAAGGGACGAGAGACTACTTCGGGCGGACGTCGGGCTGATACGGTCTTTTAGAGGAGGGATGAATGACTGAATGACGATAGGGGATGTTGATGATTCTGCTCGCTGCGAGTTTCAATCTGAATATCGGAGCTTTGATGTCCCGGTGAACTTCACTCGAAGCTTAGCGGTACATTGTGCCTTTGAGCCTGGACTGTCGTCGATTCGCAATGATTAGACCATTTGCGGTGAACATTCACGATAGAGGTGATTAAACATTGGACGCAGTTCTACATCGAGTATCTTCGTACGCGAAACATTCTTTGAGTCGGTAACCTGACGTGATTTTATATTCAAATGAAAATAAATACAGCGAACTTGCACCGACGAAGTTCCGGCAACCGAAGTCCAAGTACAAGGGACCAACCCATCGCTGGAATCCACGGCCGAAAGGCATGCATCTAAAATAGTCTCGAGAGCTCCAAGAAAATGGAAATTAAACCAGAATTGCGTAACGGGGAGAAGTTCGTTAGATCCAGAAGAGATACAAGCTACGGCCCTACGATGTAATTCTATATACCGGAAACCAAAAGTTACGTTACTGATAGCGGGCAGCGTAAAATACAAAGCTTAGTAAGGGGGTTTTCGGGGGCGGTACGGGGGTATCATGGTTCATACAGGCACAAGCGTTTCTACTGGTTTTGCCAAACGATCGTCGAACTACCTCCGTCCGAGATTCAATTAGAGAGATTCCAAAGTACCTTCGACGAAACTTGATGGCGGTATGGTTCGCTTACCTCATTGCCTCGTCGTCGCTGTAGTCGATGTCGGGCTGGGCCGGCGGCTCGTTCGAGAACCCGCTGTCGTTGCTGCTGTGAAGCGACGTGACGACCTGCGGCGGCGGAACTGGCGGAGCAGGTGGCTGTATCCTGCGGCCGCCGGCCAAAACTGTGGGCAACGTGCCCGACGGACGGATCTAAAGACGACGGGGCAACGTGGTTTATGCGGATTATATTTCACTGTTCTTGGCAGCGTGCGGGATATTTACTTTTATCGGACCGCTCGAGAAAGCTCGCAGCTTTTACTCTTACAGTAAGAACCGAAACCCTGACTTTGGAAAGGTAAACGATTGGCTCGCGACTTCGTAGCGAGCTACTTGAATCGTGGCTCATAGCTTAAATTATTGAATTCTTGTTCTGAAGGTTTTGCGACTGCTCTCGGTATCTTTCAGCGATATAGGATTGAAGTAGTTAAAACCTTGTTTCGGAAATTAGATGGTGTTTCATTAAGGAAATTTGTGGTATCGATTGTAGATTCAATTTTCAGTTTTCAATCGAAATGTCGCTAATATTACAAATTTCGTCTGTAACATTTGAATTTGCGGATAACGTTCCTCCAATTTTTCTATTTATTTCGAAGAATAAAGTGGCTAAGGGTTTGAATATTAATTGAGAGAGCAGAAGATATTATCAGTTTGATATTCTATATGTTTTCTAAATATCGATAGTATAAGTGTCTCTAATTGAGAAGCTCTTATTAACAATGCCATACTCACCGGTTTGGATTGGCGTGCAGTGGGCGTAGCTAGATTATGAGAACTGTTGCTGTTCGGCACGATAGTCGGAGTGCTGCTGCTGTTATTGTTGTTGCTGTTGTTCGCGTTGTTGTTTCCCACCCCGTGGAAACCACTCGACACTTCATCCATGCTGCTCGGTGTCACCGGAGCCCGCGAGGGTGGAGGCTTGCACGGTGGAACCGCCTGTGGCTCCGACGCGCGGCCATTGTTTGTTCCATGACTTGGCGATCTTCGGGTATTACGAGACACGATTGATTTTCGGGGAACAATAACCAGATTGATATTGATTGAATCCGAATCGTTGCGAGTGTCAAGGAGGAGGAGCTACTTGTCGGAACGATATTTCACGTATATATACACTGTTCATTATTGAAACTGTTCGTTGAGATAAATCAATCATGCATCAATTGAAATATATATGCAACAGATTTAAATAGCAGCTGCATTTAGGAATTTGTTAGAAATAAATCAAGCAATGTCTCCTTTGACACACTTTCAACGTCAGAAATGAACAAGGAAAGTAAATCAACGATCATATAGAAATATCAAGGATTTATGAAATTTTTTCTAAATACTATTATTCATTCACTCTTATTATGTTTCTCGTGGTACATATATTGTCTCTATTTCAATAATATTAACGTATCAACGAGTACATCGGTAATGGACTAGTTAATACTCTACAAGCGTAGAAAAACCACAGTCGCCTTGGAACATATTCCCCGATCAAAGACTTATTCATCGCGAACAAAATGAAAATTTCATTGAACTCCATACAAAACGTCCACAGTACAAGCAACTGCGTTCAGAGCGACATATACAATAAACCGGATTGCACGGGAACAATATTATCCACGAAAAACATTTTATAAACTTGCATTTTTGCCTGTTTGTTAATTTACTTTCCCCGACATCGAATAAATAAACCCCGTAAATCCGTCCTCCCAGCAAAACAAATTTCATAAATTTTTCCGTCGATCGCAAACAGTATTTCCCGGCATCGAGCCCCGAAGGGAGCGAAAAATCCGACCGGTCGACTCCCGCAGTATCGTATCGGCCTAAGGACGGTATAAATGATTCAGAGGCGGATTAACATTTTTATTCTCGCGTAATTTCCGCGTGGCCAATCGACGCGATAAATCACGTTCAACGCTAAACGCACCGACATTTTATACACACCCATTCCCACCGTAACTGGTCTAACGACCAATTATAAAACGAAGACGAACGAAGTCGGACAATAAATAATTCTCAATGAGAACAGAAAGAGATTTTGATAAAAATTTCCTCAGTAATCAAGACAAAACTTCCCTTTAAGTAGATTCTTTTGAAACATAGAAATTAAAGCGAACATCGAAGCATCAAAATACACAATATTAAAACCAAATGCACAAACATTTTCCTGATAGTCATCACTGAAACTCGAATATCCAATGACTACGTTAAATTCCCCTTAAAAAACGCTCGAAGTGTCGAGGAGAATCAAAACCTTGTAGCATACTCGTGCCGGATTCCAATTTCACGATGAACTTTCAAAAGCGAAAAACTTTAAAAACCGGTCACTCGTGCGCGAGTGGTGCGTTCGGCGTTAAAGCGGGGCGCTTGGTGGCGAACGTAAAATTTCTATCGTCGCGGCCGTAAATCGGGCATCGGAATAAGAGGATTTAGGGGCGGCGTGTGCAGATGCAACAATAACACCAAGACGAGTAGCAGGGCTTTAATGGGAACGGGGCTCGCGCATCGATGGCGATGCCCGTTGCCCGTTATCGTTCTAGATTAGCGTAATTGCATTCGACCGGCGCAATTGTTAGCAACGAACGCCCGTAACAAGATCTGCTATGATACCGTTCGGCGACCGAACGCGACCGGGCCCTTTCCCGTCTCTCCGCTAACTTACCCAAGAGCATCGTCGATAATAATTTCTGTGTACGCCAGTGGGAACCATCCGGAGCTGTGCGTGCGCAGATTCTCCCCGAATTGCCAGCCCTTCTGACGATCTCCTAATAAACGCAGTTTCGTGAAACAGATATTATACGTTTATGGCGTTCGTTTCATGGCGAAACGTGTGTGTGTGTGTGTGTGTGTGTGTGTGTTTGTTTGATAAGAGTTCGGGGTCGCGGGGCTGACGATGCGCTCCCTGGGAACCGATTTCTTCTTATTGTTACTGTTTCCGGTTGTGAGTATATAGGAACCTGGTCGGTCGCATTGGAAACTGTTGGAACATTCGGGAAAGTTACGGGATGCTTCCTGGTAACTGGAATTCTGATTGTGTTTAGTTTTTCGAATGTTTGAAGTTTGTTAGTGCGGTATTTAGCGAGGATTAGTGCAGTTCGCATTGTTAATGAGAGGAACTATGTTCTATTTGATTCTAGGTATAGAAGTGAATATTTGTAGGAACATGGAGTGTCGGACATATTATTCCGAGGGTATACGGTGTGTTTTAGTCAGACGGGGGAGAGTTGGGCATTGTTCGAATCGTTTCGAATAAATATTTATTTAAGCAATTAGCTGAACTAATCTCTAGCTGGATATCTCTATTTACTCGAATAATATTTTCATTTAATAATTCATATAAACCAATAGTCTAATAAATTTGACAAAGGTCCTCAAAGTTAGATATAAAATATGTCCAAAAATTCCATTTTTGTTAAAACAGAACTTGAAATATTGATCAACCAAAATCAGACGTTTCACATTTTACAGGCTAATAGACTTTTCAACCAATAATTACCAAGTTCCTATTCAATGAACCGTTTGTCAATCATCGAATTTAATCGTGTTCGAGCAAGATTCGATCTCTGATCCATTATCGGAGCAACATTTTTCGCAGTTATAGAAATAAGCAGCCAGACAGACGTCGAACTCACCCATCAACGCGATGAGATCATCCTCCAGGAAGCTCAGCTGATTTTCCCCGGAGCTCAAATAGGCATAGACAGCCCTCGCGAGGGGTGCATCGCCCCAACCACCGGAACTCACCCCAGTGCCGCTGCCGCCGCCGCCGCCGCTGCTGCTGTTGCGTGACGCTGGAGGCGCCATGGACCTCGGCCTCGGCGGGATTTCCGGGACCTCTGCGAAAACAACCAGGAATACGATTAATTGAACTCGTTTGTGCCCTAATGTGCCGCGCGGCGTATTAGAACCTTCGAGTGGTATCATTTTAACGTCCGGATTTCGTGTACGCGTGATACTGCTTATTTATGAACGGCTAAAGCCGCTGGGGGTTGAATCCTGGACCATTTATGTATGAAACTTTATATCCTAATTGACAAAATATTCGAGTATATTTAAATAACTGTTCAAATCTGTTCCAGGTAGAAATATAATAATTTTTCGATAGAATCTATAGAGAGAATCACAGATTAAATGGCGATCACGCGTTGAAGAGCAACAAGAACGCATAAAAATCGTGTTAATTACATAGAATGAGTGTTCGCATTGATCGTTCTATTGTACGTTTAAACATTCGATCCCCGAAACAAAGAATTGTGCGTGTTGGTGAAACTCGGATCGAAGAGAACGATAAAACCCGAAGCTTCTCGCGTATATATTTATGAAGCGCGAGTGATTCAGATCCATGATACGGCCCGTGAACGCACAAACAGTTTGTTTCACGCAAATTGTTTCGTTTTCCCCGCCGTGTTGATCCGTGTTCCCGGCATTTCCATTTTCTCGGTCATGCCCATTGCAGCGAGTTCGCCGCACCTGCCGCAGGTTCCGCAGTTCTCTTACCAAGTGTTTCTGTTTCGCCGCACCCCCGTCCGCGGCCAGAAGAATGGCTTTCAGCCAAAAACCGCGGCATTTCGAACGGCGGGCGCAGTTACTTGAATATTTCTACCAAGTTTACGTTCCATTATTTCCTCTGCTCTTCTCCCTCTCTCACTCGTGCGCTTTTTTTTATATTCCTTCTACGCGATCCATTCCGCTCGCGCGTTATTACCGGCGAATTTATACACTTGGCCGACGCGCAAAAACGCCGCCTCAAGAAACTTCGGAAATGGAAAGTTCTCGATTATTTAGGAGCCGGTTCCGGAAAGCGAACGGAAGTGGAGCAAAAAATCTGCTGTATCTTCTTCTGAAGTTAACTTGGATGCTACGAGAGGTTCCTTGGAGAAATACGGACGCAATCAATTTTTCAACCCTGCTAAAGTTTATTTTATATGCTATTCGCTTCTACGTTATATTTTAAATCTCCTGCTCCGGAAACATTCCAATTTTTAGATAATATATAATATTCATCTTTTAATAATTGCTGCAATTTTATAAAAAGAATACAAAGGATCAAAAATTCCTTTTATGTTCATTGATGTCTCTAATATTAAACAAGTTTCTCATGTTTTTCAATGGAAGATTTTTACACGGGAAGCCGGAGACAATTTCACAAAGGAGCACTCGCCCCGAAGATCCTCCTCCCGTTAATCTCGAAATTGTGAATTAGTGTCACGCGGAAAATCAATAGCGATCTCGATTAATGCGATTCGTCGGTGCGCGGATAATGGAAAAATTGGAAAATTCCCGACTGCGCGGGGGCGGTCGACAAGTGGAATTCGATATTCGACGCAGCGAGCCCTCCCGGCGCTCTCGAACTGTTTTGCGAGCACTTCTGCAGCCGGTCGTGTTGCAAACGTTTGTTACGTGTTCAACCTCGATGTCGACTCGCTCGAAACGTACTCGACCGTTCGGTTAAGCTACAATAAAAACAACCGTGGTGTCGTGTACCCCCCTTTTCTCTGTCTCTGACGAGCATGTAGGAACACTGGTTCCGTTACGCGTCCGAAAACGATTCGAAGTTTTTGCTTTTTCGGCACGCGCGCCGCTGTTTTCCGAAACAGACAGATTGCAGGTGAAAGTGAGACTATAATGAAACAAGTTTCTACAATCTACGGTCCATTAAATTTCAGTTAAATGTAGTTTCTCGGAGATTATTATTTTACCACTCGGAATACGAAAGAAAGACATGTCTTAGACCACGTTCAAAATGGCTGTTTAAACGTTTTAATTGTGTCGCAAGGAACAGAGGAGTGTAAGAATTATGTTTAGACTTGAAAAAACACTAATGTGCTCTATCTGGAACCATAATCAGAGATAATAGAAAATAAATGGATACGAGGATGAAGTGTTTATCGCGATAACGCAGCCTTTCACGCGGCAAATATTTAAACGAAAAGTGTCTCGCCGGAATTGATAATATGGAAATGAACTTTTTCTCTCGGAAAATATACTCCTCGCTGTCAGGTATATTTATTTCGCGGAATTAATAATTCATTCCTGTTTACGGAAGCTCGCGGACGTCCAGATGAAAAAATTCAAGCGCGCGGAACATAATAACAAGCGAAGCCCGATGAACGCGTCCCTACTTCGTAAAATTAGAGACAGAGCACCGTGAAAAATAAGGGGAATCCGTATCGCGGCTGAATTCATTTTTCCCCCCCGCCCCGCCGCCGCCGCGGCGAGTTTAGATTTTATTGTATCGCGTCGCGTTTCAACGGCCGTCTCTATTTCCGCATTCATAACTTCGGCATGCTCCGGGAAACTGAAAACCCGAGATGCCCGCACGGACTTTCGGTTATAGGGGAATTTCGTTGTACGATCGAATTTTCTGGTTCGCCGAGAGTCGCGTATAACCGGGAATAACTACGATAGGAAACAATGTATAATAGAATGAAACTAATGGAGTGACGATGGAGTTTAACTGCGACTGTAATCAAGTTTAATTTCGACTGCGCGGCGCTGGGGAATTTTAAATGTAGCGTGATACCCCGCTCGCTGCGCTATAACAATTAATTTACCCGAGATAACATTACACTTTACCCGGGGGTTCTTTATTCAGAGATGAAGTGAAATGTTATCTTCGCGTTTCGTAGTGAATTCTTATACGAGCTCGCATTATTCAATTTTTATCGTGTCTTCGATATTTCCGTATTAAATGTGAACGTTTGCGAAAATATATGTAATATTCTAATAATCAGATTGTAAGTAAAATTATCAATTTTCTTTGAAATTATTACTGGTATGTTAATTTGATCCTTTATGTCAGCGTTTTGCAGTTTTAGGACCGTCGAGGAGTTAGACTGATACATTTCTGAGAGTTTGCGACTATTACTTAGCTAGTAGATTAGTTTGATGAAAAAGTTTACGGTCCTTGACGACTTACCCGGGTCCAAAGATAACGTCGAAGCATGAAGGTTGGCTTCCGACCTAGCTCTAGACAGAGCAGTAGGTAAGTGTGATGATGGGCCTTGATAAGTGGTGCTCGACACGTTTCCGGAAGGCGGTCCAGGTCGAAGTTCCAAGCAAGAGCTGTCCATGCTTCTGGTCTTCCTCAACTGCGAGCTCATCGTGAGCTCCGAACCACCATTTTCTTCGTCCTCGGGCCAAAATGAAACTTGCTGGACAGTAAGACAATGGAGGAGACTGATAACGTCGCAGCACGTAACGTGTTTCAACAATATTACGACTACGCCGTAACATATAGAACTTTACTCTTAATATTAGTAAAGACCAGCATTTCTAATAATTATTTAAAACACTGAATTTAGAAAATCTATCCATCGATAACAAAGAAAGTAGAATAAAATAATGCTTGAAATATTAGGTAACAGTGGAACATCTCTTGTTTCCATAAGATAACTAATTAAAAATTCGGGAATTCTCGTTTCCTCTGCTAACTGTCGACCAGCGTTAAGGAATATCTAATACAAACTTCAAAGTCTGAGTATCTTGCTTCCGGGAGCCGAAGAATTATTCATTCTTTCGGTAAGTCCTTGAAGGTTTGTAATGTGTAACTATCACGTTCCGAGTTCCACGGGAATTTCGAAGGAAACATAGTTAAACAGAGAGATATTCCCAGCATCGCTCACCCTGAGTCTGGAGGCGAACATATCTTCCACGGATTGGGGTAAGTATTCCCTGGTAGCAGCTACCTCGCGCCACTTATCAACCGAGGGATGAAGAGCAGATAATGCGACCTCATGAAAACTCGCATAATGTTTCGCCAAGGAGCATTGTCGCTCGAGAACAAAGCCGTACCTCCTTCGTTCCTGCGTCATCGCCTGGAATAAAAAAGGGTCAAGAAACTCGAAGCGGAGACGCGCGCTGCGGGGCTGTCATTAGTCGGTCGTTTTTAGGCTGATTCATTAGTCGATCGCAAATATGGAACGTCATCGCGTCGTTCGCGTCAAGATAAATTATTTATGAACGCAAACACCCTAAGGCGATGCAGAACAATGTATCGATCGCCTTCAATTTCAACGGAGAGCATGATTTTCATGTCATCCTATTACCTGAATACCACCTATTTGTCGAATTACATCGTATAACCATACTATTACATTATTTTATTATATTTAATATCAATATTTATCATATCACTTCATGAGTCGCTCAGAAACCGATGCGGTTTCAAAAGTGTTTCCCTAGAAATATTCAACATCCAGAGCTAAACATTCCTTGACTAGATTGAGAAACTCATTTGAATACTCCACGTATCGACGCAATATACAAAGCATAACATTCTGTAAGACTACAATTCCTCTATATCGAGCGATAAGCCAGAGTCACCCGCCGAGCGCAAAGTGTCGAGCAATTAAATCCAAAGACGAAATCGCATTCGTCCCCCGCGCATCAGTTTAATAACCGACTCATTAATACACCTCTAGATTCCAGAAGAAGACCCTCCACCCGCCTATCAAGCCATCCACCATATACTCACATTCTTCAAGCTCTGCTCACAAAAGGCGTCTAGCTTGGACTTCTCCTCCTCGAGGATCTGCATGTTCTTCAGCTCTTTGTCCATGGCGAGGCCACTCTTGCTCGCGCCCCTCGACTTTTTCCTCTGCTTCTTCATCGTCGCTGCCGCCTTGCTGTACGTTTCGGACCTGGTCTTGTGCTGCTGCAGGAACTTCTTCTGCTCGCTCTGGGGGGAGAAAGAACGTGTGCGTTTCCATTATTCATGCCGTCCGGCGGGCTGACACAGTCGCACAGTCACCGGGATTCGGGAGCGGAGCTTACCTGGACCACCTTCGTGTCTTTCTCCAGGTTCGTCTCGAGGGGGACCAGCAGGTCGACGTAGAACGCCTTCAGCTGCAACAAGAGAAGAGAGAAATGGGAACCGGCCGGAGACGGCGCCGACGTTGCACCGAGACTCGAGACACTGGAAGATTTTAATGCGCGGAAGCGCGGAAAAGTGAATCCGGAACGAGCTTAGGTAATGAGGGACTTTGAACGACCGACGCTCTTAAACGGAGACGGCCAGTTTCGCGAATCTTGCCGGTCGTGTTTATGAGCTGTTGTCTGAACTGACTTTAAACGATGCTGCAGCCGAGGCAACGGTCTGATTAGTCGAACCGGAAACTCGTAAACCTTCATCTTCTCGCAAATGAGTCTTCCCGTTACGCTGGTTACTCTGTGTTTCTATCGAGGTTTGCGTAGCAGAGACCGTGGAACGGGTTATTTATTCTGAGTACTGGCAGTTAGAAATCACGTAGATGGTTTTTTGATAATGGTTCGTTCCGTAGGTTGTAGGATGTTCGTTTGGGTTCCTGAGAAGCCTGGGAAAGATTTATTTTTGATTTTTAGAACCAGTGTGAACTGGATATTGTCTTGAATAATTGGTTGCCAGTGTTTGGGAGTTGGAGAAGTGAGAGGAGTTTTATTTTAGTTGAATGTTTTTTAATTCTGTTGATAGAAGGGAACTGTTACGAAAGCGCCGCGGATGTTTCAGCGAAGTCTTCTTCGGAAGGGAACTGCGTTTGATAAATGGATGGAAATCACGTGTAAGCTAAACTGTTGCTAAAATACTATGCGGAACGGGGAGATTTAATTCTATTTGAGGGGGAATTAACAAACAAGAATTTGTTGCCGGCGGCTCGGTTTCAACGGAACCGCGGCCGTGTGAAATTCATTGAGACAGTTGTTAATTTTATGGACCGACGAAAATTTCATTGTGGCCTGTGGTTTACGTACAGTTGCTTACAAATCAGCGCGAATTTATATACGAATTAGCAGTCCCTGTTTATGTTTAATAACTGCAGCCCGACGAATTACCATCGAGTACTTATGTCGGATGCCCAAATAAATATTCAAATATTTGTTTCAAATCAAATACCCTGCAGCTGGATTTCCCCGTCCAGCACAAACATATTTCTATTTAACGTTCGATGTTGATCTGAATTACCAAAGGCACCTATAAAAACTGTAAAAACCATTAACACAAAATATCCGTCAAATAAAAGCTTCCCAGGGAATCGCTGACAAACGAAAACATCTTAAAAAATCCTATTACCTCAATTTAAATTTCATATTTCATATCAACGCAATTACACTCGACCAACGCACAGGAAAATATCAAAAAAGCATTTCCCATTTCACTCGATAAAATTTGATACTCCGAAATAACATTTTTAAATGATCTCTGTATCTCGTGTACACTGCCAATTAGCAAAACAAATTTACCATCGTCGCTGAAAAAACTTCATAATATCCTCACAATGTAAACAAAATACAAGCACCATACGTTTAGCTCTCTACCCTACAACTTCCGTCTGCACTTTCTACCACTCAACTTTTTACCCAGTAAAGCTTGACACATACTAATCCTTCCAGCGATGAATTCTTTATTTTCTCACATAAACATGTAATTCCTTGTTTCGCTTTGATTTGATCATTCGTCCTGCGTTCGACGAACACGCTCCATTTTTCGATTTTATTGCGCAGAACTAGAGGTTTTTCCAACAAAATCCCATAGTCAACTTTTCAAATGATTGACTTTCGTCCAGAAATCGGCCGTGCGGCGAATGCGAGGAAAGGAATCACCCGGCGGAACAATCGCGAACGCAGAAAGTCCGCGCGTCGAAATAAAAAATCAGGAAATCCATCCGCCGGCACCGCGGCGGTCGAAACGAAATCCACGGCGTCGGTCTGCGTACGAGCGGCGGGACACGGGTTGATCGAGGCCTCTTTTTTTCCCGGTTCCCCGCCGCGGCTTAATGGACATTGATTAGAGGCAGCATTTCGATCAGAAATACGTTTCCACGAGTGGGCAACCTTCTGCCAGGCCGGTCGATCGCTGCCCGTGAAAAGCGGCTGCTGAAAGGGAAGAGAAATACGGGCTGAAGTGGCACTGTTGATGCGCTGAAAAGAGCCCGGGCGCATCCTCGATGCATTTTGCTCGGCCGGCAGCGCGCCTCTTACCGCCCCGAACACGGCTAACCTCCGACGTGATTTTGCAGGTTTCTTCTAATCAGCGCGCGGCTTGTTACGTTCGGATAAATAACGATCCATGGATTATTTATGCGCCCCAGTTGCTGCGTAAAGAGCCGCGCTCGCGGCAGACTGCGTCGAAAATGTCGGGCGACATGTTTTTCACTCGACGACCCGGCCTTTCGAGGAAATTTCCGCTGGTTCTTCGCCTGTTGCGTATTTATTTCGGTTCAACCTTTTTCGAGGTTAGTTTATTAAGGGAGGGATTTTATTTGAGGTAGTTTGACATGGTTTTTCGAGTGCTTTATGCTTGGGAGCTTAATTTCTGTGGAGGGAGGTATGAAATGGGATTGATGTAAGTATTGGAGAAAGGTTGTTAGGTTTTTGCTGTAGGTTTAGGGTAATAGTGCAATTTTTAGGAAAATAGTGTTGTGTTGATAATGTATATTTTGAACATTTAGGAATTTTAGGAATAGAATGGCTTCTCAATTATTTATAACGGACGTGAGAAATAGAATTTTGATTCTAATGCTGCCCATTTCTATTCACTTTCCATGCACCATTTTTTCCTGCACGCTCATTTACATTCGTATTTACCATGAATAATTCCGCGGAATCGATAAATTTCCTTTCAGAGTAAATGTACCGCATAATATTTCAAGACTGTTAGTTCCGTTCCCGTATCACTTCAATGACCGTCACGAATTTATTACAGGCACTTTGTACGACGATGTTAGCGAATTGAAACGCTCGGCGGATCTTCGAAAGTGAAGTCGACTGTTTGACTTCATCCCGGAGTAACTCTTTTTTGAAATATTTGTACTGTTAATGGAATTGGCTAGAAGCGAGTGCACGAACGGGAGCAATATCAATGAGAAGATTTCGAAGACTCCCATGTATAACGACTGCAGAATTATTTCAGTTTCTATTAGAAAAGTAATCACTGTACACAAAAAGCACGGTCGATTAAAACTTAACATTCCCTCACCTTACATGACCCAAAATTATTATTGCACAGGCTAAATATTTACCACCGACCCTTCCCCAGAGTTCATAAATAAACCTGTTTCCCATAAAACCCCACAGACCATTTACACCAACAAGCGGAACACAAAACCGTCATTTGCAAATTCCCAGATACCGTAAACCGGCTCGAAATAAACAAACCTCCCGGTACAACCGAAGCCGACGCGGGGATAAAAAACTGTAGAATCCGCGGAATTTCAATAAATCGCGTCGCGAAAAAATCGCGCGCGGCCAGGCGAAATGTTTAGCGGAACGAGGATTAAAGCGGAACAAAAGGACGAGGTACAGCGAAATAAAATCAGAAAGGAAAACCGCGGGATTGATACGAGGACGAGAGCGCGGCGCGTAAAAATGTCGCGGGACGGCGTTACTTTTCAGCAGACGCGAAACAAATCACCGAATTTCCCGGCGTGACTCCCGAAGCCCGGCTCGCGAGCCGCCTTGTGAATCGTCGCGGCCGATTTTATTTAGGCGTTTGACAGTTTTACGTTCGGCTTTCTCGTCGCTGTATAAAAGTGCGTCGCGTTATTTATTCGCCGGGAGGCTCGTCTTTTTTCCTTCTATTTCCTCTGTTACGTGACTGCGCGGCCGGCCCGTGTGCGCGCGGTACGCGCGCGAGCGCGTCTCGCTTTCTGTTTAGTTTACGAGCCGATCGAAAACGAATTTTCGCGAGCAACAGCGTCCACCGGCGAAACGCTGTAAATGACGTATCCCCCGTAAACGTGTTTTGATTCAGGGAACTCGCGGATTTAATTAAGCAGTTCGGGAAACGGCCGCGGCGGCGGCGGAGGGGGAGGAAGGGAAAAAAAGGCAGCGACGCCGTGAAAAGGTCGGGAAGGCGCCGCGGACGGGTGCAATTTTAATGCCGCGTTGCGTAAACTTTTACAACCGAGTTTACGATCTGTTTCCGGGGCTCAGCGTCGAGTTGCTTATTTCATTGTTCGCCGCCATCCCCGCGCGGCCGTTTTTCGCAGTTCCGCGGCAACGCCGGGGGTGGAACCCGCCGGTGCCGCCTTTGTTCCGTCCGATACACCGCGCCTGCCGATTTCCTGCTGGAAACACCCCGGAATTCTTTGCGAACTTTCGACAGCCTCTCGCTTTGTTGTCTACCGGTGAATGATATTGGGAGGAGGGTGTCGGAGTCACGAGCATCGCCGCGAGATTTTCTGAAATCGCGGCATCGTGAATGCGTTGAATTTTCAATGGAGATGCACTCTTTAAGTTCCCCGCGCGGAACGAACGAGGATCGCGAAGATTCGCGGGTTAATATGGTAGAAGTGTTTCAGTTTAAATATGTACTCTGATTTTTAGGTTCACGGTTATTGTAACGATATGCTCCTTCGAGGATTAAATCGTAATATAAATCAATCGGAGCATTAAAGATAGCCACACCGAAGAACAGAAGAATACAGTAATCAATTTTACTGCTCAGCAGTTAGTGTCCATAAAGATCAACCCTATTCTCGACACGCGATAAAAGACTAGTTTAATATCAACCTTTCGCCTCTTTCGTCTCGAAAATTAATGACGGTAAACTGAACTCGAATAATCGCAACCTTCTGCAGGAATGATGGTACAGCTCGCGAGAGGCGACGGAGTTCAACTAAACTGAGTCATTGAAATCATGAACGATACACACGGCGCATACCTCCGAAGAAACAATCGTGTCTCGGATTACAGATTCGCCGTATCACCGTATCCCCTTAACAAAGACGAAGCATCTCTTACTGTAAACGTTTCGCCCCCGCGTTTCGGATGCCAAGATTCCTCTCAGTCTCGCCTCCCCTGCCACTCCGTCTTCTCCTCTCGCGCGCGAAACGCAACCCCCGGGCTGGCTCCTGGAATGCGGGCTTTTC